ATACGGCCATTTTAAAGATGTTTTGTTTCTTTGTTAATTAAAATTGAACTGTTTTGCTGTAAAGACGCCATTCATGATTAATTAATGCTAAACATGCAAAACGTGTAATATTTAAGGTTACACAAGTAGTAATAAACAACTAATCTTAGAATATATGCCGAGAATTCTACAAATTTCCGGGAATTCTACGAATTTCCGGGAAAGTATCGCAAAAATTCGGGAGGATGATTTAAATTTCCGGGACGACTTAAGTTAAGACCTAGTATTGCTCAAACAGCGTTTGTTAGAGTTGTCACCCCCGTTTTAGTGCACAAGCCACAAGGATCTGTAATCGGGCCGGGATTTGTCATTATATCCCCAGCGAGTAGAACCATTGAGGCAGCATAAAATGCTGCATGCCCGAGTTTGAGAGCAGCAACCGGATGAAATTCCAGCAGAAGTACTAAAGGAACTTTCTGAATCAATATCTCACTGGCTAGCATTTATTTTTCAGCAGTCATATGAATGCAATGAAATTCCATCTGATTGGTCAAATGCCTTGGTGACAGCAATTTTTAAGAAGGGTAATAAATCAGAACCTGCCAACTACCGCCCCATTTCGTTAACTTCAATCTGTTGCAAGATAATGGAACACATTAAACATCTGTCCTCACATAATATCCCCATCAACCATCAACATGGATTTAAGGAAAAATTTTCCTGTGAAACTCAACTGATTTCTGCAATGCACGACTGGGCCAAAGGTATAAACTTCCGTAGCCAAACAGATGTGTGGCTATTAGACTTCTCAAAGGCATTTGACACTGTTCCCCATGAAAGATTACTTATAAAGCTTGAATACTACGGAATCAGGGGTAACAGGTTTAATTGGATTAGGGCCTTTTTGTCAAACTGCAAGCAAAGTGTCTCAGTTAATGGTACTCACTCTTCGTCAAGACCTGTTGTGTCTGGATTGCCTCAAGGCTCTGTGTTGGGTCCAGCACTATTTCTATTTATGAACATAAATGACATATCAAACTCAATCCAATCTAAGCTTCGGCTATTTGCAGACGATTGTGTTCTTTACAGAGAGGTAGCCTCACACCAGGACTGTCTTACTCTACAACAAGACCTTGATCTTCTGTACCAATGGTCGAGGACCTGGCAGCTCTGTTTCAATGTGTCCAAATGTTACCACCTCGGAATTACTCGAAAGAAAATACCTGTTAACTTCACTTACTCTATGAACAGTAAAATCATATCACAAGTCCCTTCCACAACTTACCTGGGAGTAACAATCACTGATAACTTGTCTTGGAATCAACACTGCGATAATATCTGCAACAAGGCAAACTCCACCCTTGGCCTTCTTAAACGAATCC